AAAAACTAGTGTTAAATGTATGCTAAAATTGTGTAAATATAGTGTATATCAACTCCCCCACTCTTGCATTTTGCTTGTCCTCAAGCAAACAAAGACAAATAAGATAAGCAAATTGTAATAATGACATATAAATGTGACATGTCTACCTCAGCTTCAAATGATGCAAAGAAGTAAATTGCTACCCTCACATTTTTTTTTTAAATGACAAATCTGTACATTTTTTAGGTGGCAAATGACAATAGGGTAAAACCTTAAAATAACCTGAGGTAAATAATATTTGCTGAAAAATACATCAATTATTTTAGTTTGGAAAAAGTAAATAATGTCTTCAATTGATTATAATATAAAAAACATATCATTACTATAAAAAAAGAAGAAGATAATTTGATATTTTATATACTTATAATAAATTATAAAATTCTCATGCACTATAAATATTGTAATACAAAACAAAAAACTTATATGTTATTTACAAACTAGAATTTAATAGTTACAACAAATATTATAAAATATATTGAAAAATTGAAACATTTTTTTTTGGGTCAAAAGATTGAAACATTCAAATGATAAATTCGTATAACCTTTCTCCCTTTTTTGTGACAATTTACATATGGTATGGTTTAAACTCACCAATCTACAAACTACTATGTAGTATGTTTTAAGGGTTTCTTATGCCTTTTTTGGCTGAGGAAGCCAATCAAAACACCAAGGAGGTCCATTATCTCGTCTTAGACGACAGATTGGTTTCTTCTTTCCCTCGCCCGAGACTTCCCAAATACAAACGTCACATTTTTTGTCTCCATAGGTAACAATACGACTATCTCCCTTTGGTGCATACACAGGCCACATGTGGGATCCGCCTTTATACCACGTAAAGTTGCAATCAAATCTCGTACTCCCCAACCAATTTACTCTGAATTTGAAGTCCCAACTAAGACCCGAAGAGAGTGTTTTTAACCCCAAATCATCATCTTTAGATTTGCAGTGTACTTGCAGAGTACGTTTGTTTGGTAATGCATTAATTATTACGACGGTTTTTTTCTCAAACCCAAGCATGCGTCTCGTGCTTAGCTCTCCCGATGCAGCATCCGAGAATGACATCGATGCATAAAGCACCATAGCTACAAGATTGTAGATAAACAACATAAAATATAGTTTTTTGGAGAAACCCATGATTCTCTCTATTATGAGATTGAAATTGAAGTTAAATGCAAATGTATATATAGTTTATTTCCTTTTTCTATTTTTAATAAGGAAAGGATTTTGACCTCCCAAGAAATAGTAAGGAAACGATAACAAATCAAATTAAAAAATGGAGAACACTTGGTTCCTCTTTAAATGATGCAAAGAAGCAAATTGCTACCCTCACATTTATTTTTTTTAAATGACAAATCTGTACTTTTTTAAATTGGCAAATGACAATGAGAAAAAACCTTTAAAATACCTGAGGTAAATAATATTTGCTGAAAAATACATCGACTATTTAGATTTTCTATAAGATACCCAGCTTATTTTTGGATGCCAAATTAATACTCAGACTTTCAAATCTTGGAAGTTTGACCAAGTTTGACAATACCATTTTGACATCGTGAGTTTATATGACATAGACAGTGAACTGTGTTTATTTTTTTTAACACCAATTGAAATTATTTAATCCAAAATTGAACAATAACCCTTAAAAGTGATATAACATAAAATCATTTTCTCCCAAATGGATTTTTTTTTTCTTCTTTTCTTCTCTCTTAGTTATCACTTCCTTAGTGAAAAGAAGAACAAAAATCAATTTGGGGGAAGTTTTAGGTTAAATCAAATTTTAGAGGTTATTATGCATTTTGGATTAAATCATTTCAATTGGTGTTTAAAAAACACTGTTCACTGTTCCCGTTACATAAACTTACGGTGTCAAAATCATATTGTCAAACTTTCAAAATTTGAAAATCTGGGTATTAATCTTGCATCTAAAAATAAGTTGGGTATATTTCAGAAAACTTAAATTTTTGAGGTATTCTTTTAGCAAATGTTATTTACCTCGTGTATTTAAGGGGGTTTTCCATAATTATGGGATAGTTATTTTTTTTTTAAGTGGATAAGTAGAACCTCGATTTGATTCATTAATATTTCAATAAATTAATATTTTTTGTTAGTTCTGAAACTAGTTTATCAACCAAACAATATATCTATAAATTACTAACCACTATAATTAATAATTTTTTATAAATTTTAAAAGTCCTCACATTATTAATTTATAGAGGTTTTACTATAATATACAAATTCTTAGTATAACTTTCTTATACAAAATTTTGGTACCAATTTTATGACTGTGTAACTATTAAACTAATATATATATATGTATTGTTATACAAAATTAAAGAAATAATCAAGAATTATAGAAATTCCAAGGAAGAAAAGATAAAACACCAAGATCTCAGTAAGAAAATTCTTTTATAAATCAAATGTGTGTGCAAGTTGAAGGTTGTATAATTTGATAGGTATGATTATTATTATTTTATCTGATAAGATTTATAATCTTATAAACAATATATATATATATATAAGAAAACTGCTTATTATAGATTAAATTTTTTATATAAAAGAAAATTTCAATGAATTTGTTATAGTTTTGATAACTTAGAAGATATTAGACAAAAAAAAGAATTAAATCAAACTATTAATCACAACATGCGCATGTAAGTTAAAAACCTAGAATATTATATATAGGTTCAACTAGGATTCAGTACATATGTGCTGCACAAGCAAATATTTTGTAACTTATTTATAATAATAATTTGAATAATAAAAGAATCTTCTACACATGATTTGAGAAGTAGATTTAGTAAAAAAACTGAGTTGTCAACACTATAGTAAAAGTTAGTACATTCTAATGATGACATAAAAATAATTGATGTATTTTTCTGCAAATGTTATTTACCTCAGATACTTTTAAGGTTTTTCCCCGTTGTCATTTGCCACCTAAAAAAGTACAGATTTGTCATTTAAAAAAAATGTGAGGGTAGCAATTTGCTTCTATATATTCTAATGCTGGCAGCTCGGTATGCACCTCGATATGCCTCTATATCGACCAACCTTGATCTGTATACAGCTCGAGATGACTCATTGGCCCTTGATTCTTCTCTTCATTGCCTTGGCTTGACCCATTGATCTTTCCAGAGCTCTTTATAGCCTTCAAACACCTCAAATGTATCTGGCAAATCTTCCAAATGCACCAAATATGCTATACAACTTCTAAACTTATTCTAAGTTCTAAATAGATGCAAATGAGATCGAAACAAGTAAAAATGCATGCATAAAGACTAAAAACTAGTGTTAAATGTATGCTAAAATTGTGTAAATATAGTGTATATCAACTCCCCCACTCTTGCATTTTGCTTGTCCTCAAGCAAACAAAGACAAATAAGATAAGCAAATTGTAATAATGACATATAAATGTGACATGTCTACCTCAGCTTCAAATGATGCAAAGAAGTAAATTGCTACCCTCACATTTTTTTTTAAATGACAAATCTGTACTTTTTTTAGGTGGCAAATGACAATAGGGTAAAACCTTAAAATAACCTGAAGTAAATAACATTTGCTGAAAAATACATCAATTATTTAGGTTTTTCATAAGATACCCAGAGATTACAAAAATAAAAAATAAAGTATATTTCAAAATTAAAAACAAAATAAAATAAAAGTTTATTTCAAAATTAAAAATAAAAGGATATGTTTTAATTAAGAAATAAGAAAATTAACATTAACTTAGGTAATTTAAATAGAAAAGGTAAAAATATAAGAAAATAAAATGATATAATTCTATTAAGAAATGAAAATAAAAATGCTTCAAAATTAGATATTCACATGATCACGACATATAGTATTTTAAATTGATCAGATCTTCACATATGTCAATTATATAAAAGAAAAAAAAATGGAAACTAAAAACAAAATAAAATAGAATTATAAGGATATTTCGAAATTTTTTATAAAAATAGTAGCCAAAATATAAAATATATATTTTAATTAAGAAAAATAAATAGAAATTAAATTAAATAAGATTAACTTCAATTTAGGATAATATATACTAAAACATTAATCGTGATAGAAAAGATAATATAAAAAATTAAAAAATATATTTCAATTTAAATAAATTAACTTAAATATTAATCCTAAAATAAAGGAAAAATAATATCCATATTTATATATAAAAAAATTCTCATAGTTTTTTTCAACTATTACAAATATTATGTCAGGTATCGTTGGAATTACATACCATGTTTAATTATATATTTCATTTATAGGATCTGTTAAAAAAATTAAAAAAATTTAGATGCAGTCTTGATATATTTTGTTAATATATTATTTTATAATTTAAATTAATTTATTAGCAAATCGAGTGGTTGAATATTTAATATATATAATATGAGATGAAGATAGGTTTAAACTTAATATAAAAAATAAAGAAAAAGAAAAAGTACTAAAATCTATATAAATATTGATATTTTTAGTAGTAATTTAATTTTTGACGGTTTTGAAATTTTATTATTTCAAATTTGCATATACGCGAATTCTAATTTAGTTCTTACATAAATTTACAATACTAAACAATAAACCAAATTTTAAAAAATTGGAGAAAAATACTATGTATATAAATTCTAGACCTAATTAAATAAATATTAATCCAAAAAGAAGAAAATTTTAACTATGTAAAGATATCTTAGTCCAAAAAAAATTTATACTTACTTACTAAATTATAATAAGGTTTTTGTTTATTAATCATAAGTTGTTTTGGAAATATATCAATAGTTTCCTTTGACTTGAGATGAAACGAGTAACACGTGAGATGGGTGAAGATGATTTGGGTGGGTCGGGCGGGCCAAATAATAACTGCTTGTGACCATAAAGGACAAAACGGTTTCAATACTCTCTCTGTCACCTTCACCAATCCATTCAAGGGATACTAACAGATCTCCTCCGGTGGCTGAATAAATTCTCCGGCGAAGATGAACGACGCTGATGTTTCCAACCAGATCCAGCAGATGGTGCGGTTTATCCGCCAGGAAGCCGAAGAAAAGGCCAACGAGATCTCCGTCGCCGCCGAAGAAGTCCGTTCTCCGATCTTACTCTTTCAAATTCGTTTCCATGTTCCCGGAAACTGTTGACCATTTGATTCTTCATCCAAAAACATTTGTTGATTGTTCTACTTGACCTTCGGATCCGGATTATCACTGAACGACTACGTGACTGTTGACGATTTTGCGACCATTTGATCTTTCACTCAAAATATTTGTTGACTGTTTTACTTGAATCTTCGGATCTTAAGATTTTTTGTTCATTGTATTGGTTTCTGGAAAATTGGGTTTTTTTTATCTAATCGTGTGGTTATCGTGCAGGAATTCAACATTGAGAAGTTGCAGCTCGTTGAGGCAGAGAAGAAGAAGATAAGGCTCGAGTATGAGAAGAAGGAGAAGCAGGTCGATGTCAGGAAGAAGATGTAAGCCCTCGTTCTATCTGATTGCTTCAAGTGTCGAGTATCACTTTTGAAAATCGTCTTTTTATCTAATTGATGCTGATTGTGTGGTTGTGAAAGTGACTACTCGATGCAACTGAACGCATCGAGGATCAAAGTTCTGCAAGCCCAAGACGACATTGTCAACGCAATGAAAGAAGAGGCAGCAAAGCAACTCCTGAAAGTTAGCCAGCATGGCTTCTTCCATCACCATCACCATCAGTACAAACATCTCTTGAAACACCTCATTGTTCAGGTTTCAGCCTCTCACTCTCAGAAAACAACCATCTCTACCATTCTCGCTTGTCTAATCACTTGATTGGTTTCCCGTTATGCGAAATTCTCTAGTGTCTGCTTAGACTGAAAGAGCCTTCAGTGCTGCTGCGTTGCCGTGAAGAAGACCTTGACATGGTGGAGTCTATGCTGGATGATGCAACTGAGGAGTATTGCGACAAGGCCAAGGTTCATGCTCCTGAGATCGTTGTAGACAAGGACGTCTTCCTTCCTCCTGCTCCTTCTGATGATGACCCTCATGCTCTCTTCTGGTAACTTTCTTGCAAACCAAAACAGTGACAAACAAAGCTATAAACGAAACCAAACGAGACTCCTTTTGATACGTGTAACAGTGCCGGAGGAGTGGTGCTGGCTTCTCGTGATGGGAAAATCGTGTGTGAGAACACGCTTGATGCGAGGTTGGAGGTCGCTTTCCGCAAGAATCTTCCCCAGGTTAATGCAAAATCCACACATCTTCTCTCTTGAAATCTCATTTGTACACAACTCAAGAAAAAGTTTTGGATCTTTCTCTCAGCCATTGAGTGTGTGTGTGTGTGTAGATCCGAAAGTCGCTCTTTGGCAAGGTTGGTGCAGCTTGATGAGTGTGATTCCTACTTTAAACCATGAACCATTGAAAAGGTATTGGCTCCAAGCCTCCATTGTCCGTTTCTCATTGTCACCATTTTTAAACATTGTGTTTTGTATTGATGGGCCGTCTGCTTTTGTTAATGGGCCTTGGCCTACTATTGTTATTTTTTTTCACATACATGATGATGATGGTTTGGTTTAATGAGGCATAATAATAAATACTTTTCTTATATATGTCTTTTCTTTTTTCCTGATAAATATAAGACATCCCTAAGAACTTCTTCTTTTTTTAATCCTAAGGACTTAATTCTTACATGTGTAAACTCAATTTTATATACTAATGTATTATATATATCATTTCGTAAAAGTTAGAAAAATCTCAAATTACCATTTATGTATAAAAAAAACCTCTAATTAGTTTTTAGACAATATTAATTCTTGATTTTGCGTTGAATTGACAAGGTTAGTCAAACTTATTAATGTTTTCTGGCCAAAGCAAAATAATCTCATAGAAAAACGGGGTAAATCACAGATATTAATTTTTTTTTTCTTTTTCAAATGCTATTTTCAGATAGTTTTGCTGTATAAAATGAAAGAAAACTTCTTATTTCTTAAGAAATCCAATAAATTCTCCTAACTAGTTATTCTTGGTTAAGTTCATTGCTTTTTCATTTGAAAGGAAAAACAAATAAAACTTCAAATAAGAAAATGGCATCTAACAAAATCTCATTCTTATTTGTTCTTTGCCTATGCGTTCTCTTATCCTCAGGTACAGTACTGATTGATTTATGTGACCAAATATTTGTCGCTCCTCCTACTTATTTGTTTTCATTTGGAGTTTTTTATTCATCAAAAAGTTCATCTCACTTATAACTTACAACAATATAGTTTCTTGGTTTTTAAGTCAAGTAAATAAAATTCTCAATTTGTTTTTGAAAAATTAAAAAAGGGATTGGGAACGCAAATCCAACTGGAAAACGATGTCCAGATCCAAACGGTAAAGACATAAAAAGTGAGTGCTCCGTCTACTGCAAAACACAAGGTTTTATGGGTGGTTCTTGTCAAGGCCACAAAGGTAATTATATGTGCAAGTGTTATGAAGGATAAATAGAAATATAACCTTCATAAATTAATATTCAGTCAGATACTATATTGTTTGGTTTTAAATTAAGTTTTTGATCCAGTTAATTTCTCTATTAGTTGATAAAATATTGTAAACTCCAATTTACAATGTTATACAAGTTTTACAATATCATATTGCATAAATATTATTATATTATATGATTTAGTCCTTTGTTTTTTTTTTTGCTAGAATCGTTTGTGTTAATATTTTATTGTCGTATATATTTTTTTCATTTTATTCGGTGAAGTATACAATTGGAAACTTGTCCGACCATTCAACATCGTCAAAAGGCTAATTATCAGGTTGATGCGCAATTATTGAAAAAACTAAAAAGAGGCTAAACGAGGGGTAGAGTCTAAATTATTGATAATAATTTACTATTAGTTATAAAATTACATGATTAGTTAGGGATTTAATAATCCGCCACTAGTTGTATATACAAATCCAAATAAACGTTATTGCATTTGCATATAACGACAAACAATTATCCATAAGATATGATTATGGCTTAGGGAAACAAATATCCATAAGATATGATTAGTCTCCGTAAGCCATAAGGATTTAAGGAGGATCAAATTTTTATGGCGCTCGCTCACATACGAAACGTCATCGTTTCGCCAAAGCAGTACAAACGTCATCGTTTAGCCAAAGAATTACAAACGACATCGTTTGTGATCATCGTCTACCCAATAAAATTTACAGTTGTTGAGTTGTGTCCTTTCGCTCCATCGACGAGTCCGTCACTTTCACCGTATAAATTATCTCCGCCAAGAATCTTCCCACTATCTCTCTGTCCTATCAGTCACAGCCCATTTCCCTCTCTCTACCAAAATCCTACACTCTCCCCATATGGAGTCCGCCGCTCTATCCCGAATCGGCCTCGCCGGTCTCGCCGTGATGGGCCAGAACCTCGCCTTGAACATCGCCGAGAAAGGTTTCCCGATCTCAGTCTACAATCGAACCACATCCAAAGTCGACGAAACCGTAGATCGAGCCGCCGTAGAAGGAAACCTACCAGTCTCCGGCCAGTACTCTCCGCGCGATTTCGTCCTCTCGATCCAACGACCGAGATCCCTCATCATCCTCGTCAAAGCCGGAGCTCCCGTTGACCAGACAATCGATGCGTTCTCCGAGTACATGGAGCCCGGAGATTGCATCATCGACGGTGGAAACGAGTGGTATCAGAACACAGAGCGACGGATCTCCGAGGCGGAGCAAAAAGGACTGCTCTATTTAGGCATGGGAGTATCCGGCGGCGAAGAAGGAGCTCGTAACGGTCCGTCGCTAATGCCCGGCGGATCGTTCCAGGCGTACGATAACATCAAGGACATTTTGGGGAAAGTCGCGGCTCAGATCGAGGACGGGCCTTGCGTGACTTACATCGGAGAAGGCGGATCTGGCAATTTCGTGAAGATGGTTCACAACGGGATTGAGTACGGAGATATGCAGCTGATCTCGGAGGCGTACGATGTGTTGAAGAACGTCGGCGGATTGAGCAACGAAGAGCTTGCGGAGATCTTCACTGAGTGGAATCGAGGTGAGCTCGAGAGCTTCTTGGTTGAGATCACTTCGGATATATTCAGGGTCAAGGATGAGTTCGGCGATGGAGAGCTGGTCGACAAGATTCTGGATAAAACCGGCATGAAAGGCACCGGAAAGTGGACTGTTCAGCAGGCGGCAGAGCTCTCTGTGGCGGCTCCGACGATTGCTGCTTCGTTGGACTGTCGCTACTTGAGCGGGTTGAAAGATGAGAGGGAAAACGCTGCAAAAGCGTTGAAGGAAGCTGGACTGAGAGAAGACCTTGGCTCTGCGTCGAGCGGGATCGATAAGAAGAGATTGGTCGATGATGTTAGACAAGCTCTGTACGCTTCGAAGATCTGTAGTTACGCGCAAGGCATGAATCTACTCAGAGCCAAGAGCTTGGAGAAAAGCTGGAACTTGAACTTCGGCGAACTGGCTCGGATCTGGAAAGGAGGGTGCATCATAAGAGCGGTTTTCTTGGATAGGATCAAGAAAGCTTACCAGAGGAACCCGGATTTGGCGAGCCTTGTGGTCGATCCCGAGTTTGCGAAAGAGATGGTTCAGAGACAGGGTGCTTGGAGGAGAGTGGTGGGTTTGGCTGTGTCTGCAGGGATAAGCACGCCTGGGATGTGCGCGAGTCTTGCGTATTTCGATACTTACAGGCGGGCTAGGTTACCGGCGAACCTGGTCCAGGCGCAGAGAGATCTCTTTGGAGCTCATACTTACCAGAGAACCGATCGTCCCGGTGCCTACCACACGGAGTGGACTAAGCTTGCTAGGAAGAACAGCAGTTAAGGAGAGGGTTTTTGTTTTTTTCCTTTTGTCTTTGCTTTTGCTAGCAAATAGCAAATGTGACTTTTATTAACCATATTGTTTCAGGTTTCTTCAATAATAAGTAATGCAGAGCCTTGATTTGGGAATCAAATCCACAAAGAAACAATACAAACTAACTAAAACTTATCAACTGATGATAAACCTAGGAAGGTTCATAGAGGCCGAGGACATGACCGTCGAGACATCTCAAGGATGCAACCTGGTCATCCAAAAACAGTAAAACCCAAAATGAAAGATTACAGATTCCATTAAAAAGAACAGTGAGAGAGAGATTTGATGCGAAAAAAGACGATAATGGTTGCTTTACCTTGCCATGGACTTCGTATTTGATGGAGCCATCGAGTTCTGCTCCTAATTCCATAAGTTTTGAGATTTTTGTATTGATGTCCGTCACCGTGAACGATAGTAGCGAAGAGTATCCTTTCTCGCTCACCATATGGTCACTGCAACAAAACATTGATCTGTTATTATCTAAGCAATGATCGAACACAAAATGATCAACGCTCGAGAAACAAGCTTAGCAAATAAGTTCTCATTGAGGCAAATGATCGAACAAGTGATCTGCATTGATCGAGATTTGAGTCATCACCTAGGGGATTGCATGAGAGCTAGCTTCAGAGGACCAGACTGGAGTTCAGCCCAACGTAAAGTGACGACATTGACGGAGAAATCGAGACCTTGCTCGTAGAAACGAGCCGCTTTCGGTACGTCTCTGTGTAGCTGCAAAATCCACCTGAACGAAGCCGTCGCCATCTCACTCTCTCTCTCTCTCTCTCTCTCTCTCTCTCTCTCGCCAGAGACGCAGATTTGGTAAATAGGCCCACAAATCAGCTCAAATAGCTCTTTGGCCACTTAAACGACGACGTATTCAAAAACTGTGTTCGAAAACCACAACATTTGATTCACAGATTCTCAAGTCCTTTCTTTCATTCTTACCAAAAATCAAAAATTGAGACAATGAAATCGATATTACACAGATATACAATTATACATGGAGTTACAAACATTTACAAGATTTAACATATCGGCACATGTAATGGAGGGACTCAAACATTTTACATTTACTTGAACATATCCCACACATGTAACGGAACTGTATCAAAGTTGTGTCTATTTCCGGCAACAATTCTCAGGTTGTTCCATCTCTCTGGCCACAGTGAGTCTTCCGACACAGAATCTTAGCCCTTGAATAGCCGAATCCGTGGCCTGGAACTCTTGGTTCTCGCTTCGCTTAGTTTAGCTCTCAAAGTGTTCTCCTTTACTCCTCCTTTTGCTGTTGAAATCTCAGAACCAGCTCTCGGATTCCAATGACGAATCGGGCTCTCTGGTCTCCTAGATAGGTAACTGCAAGAAGCTTCGTCGATTCCCCGAGTTTCCGACGATAACCTCCGATGTGTTCTAATCATTTCTCCAACCACATTGCTCGTTTCTTTCGCACACTTATCAGTTTCTTTAGATTTCTTGTTCTCGTTACTAGACATCGCCCACGCCATCTGGTCCTCGAACTTCACCTGTAAACTCGACGGGCTTTGACTCCGTCTTCTCTGTTTTCCACCAGACATCACACCTTCTGCTTTTGCTAACTCTGTTTTCTCAGCTCCATCGCCGAGTAGTGGCTTTGCAACATGTTTCTTGAGCTCAAAGCAATTCGAATCGCTTCCTCCAGAATCTTCTTCCTCCTCACTGTCTACTTCTTTAATCGGCGCGCTCGTGGCGTTAAACGGAACCGACTCAAGCGAACTCCGGCGATTCTTCGGTGCTTCATTAGAATCCAAGCTCTTTCTACTCTTGAGAAACGATTCAATCTCCAGCTCGAGCTTCTCCAACACGGATCCGTCACCGCTCTGTATCCTCTCGTCAAGCCACGATTCCGCAATACAGAGAACCATCTGATCTTGTTCGTCCCAACCTTCCCAATTCTTATCCAGCTTCTGCTTCAAACCATGAATCTCCCTTTCGTAACTCTTGATCCCTTTCGCAAACTCGTCGCATAATCTCTCAAGAACCTTCTTCGACCTAGTCCCTCTCTCCATCTCCTTAACGCAGTTAGACAACGTAGACTTCACCTCCGAGAGCTCCCTCGCCAGCTTCCTATGCAAACTCTCATAACGTCTCCTCAGTTTCCGCTCATCTTCAAGCGACTGAACCGCCGCAGAGCTTAACCGATCGCCTTCTTTCGTGTCCTTGGAGAGCTTTTCTTCCGCGAGTTGCTTCACTAAATCATCCATATCGCGTCTATCGGCTTGCTGGTATCTGAGAAGCTCTTTGATCCGGTCGCGTGAATGAGCAAGCTCGGTTTTTAGAGATTTTATCAAGGAGATATTAGAGGAATGCTGCTCCTCGAGGGTCCAGATCCGGTTCAGTACTTTGAGAAGTTCCGTTGATGTCTTGAGATTGTAGTTGGGCTCACCAGCTCGTCTTCTTCCCGGAGTTACTGCTGCATTATATGGAGCCACCTGCATATTGATCCAATCTCAATACCAAAGGTGACAGACAAATACATTGAATTGCTCCACTAATAAGCTTGGACTGAATGTGAATTACCTCGCGGGAGCTATCGTAGCTTGCAGGAGATAGTTGATGATGCTTCATAAGCATTTGACCGATCTGTTTCCTTATGCTTCCCGCACTCTCTGGCTGGGACACAATACAGGAATCAAGACCAGATAAAAGGAATTTTCTACTGAACTCGAAATGAACAAAAGGCATTTTCAAGAGCAGTGATGCACGAGTAAGGTAGTAAGAGAAGCAAGTATTGAACGTAAAGATCACAATTTTAGATAGAATCTCAGCCTACAAGAGAATCATCTGCAGGTCTAAGAAACCCAAATATAGCATTCAAGAACCAAAACAAATGAGCTCTAAGAATAAATGACATAAAGGTTCAATTTTGGATTTTGGGTTTTGGTTTGAGTGATCTGAACCTTTCAATCATAGCTGATGCACAACATTCAGTTCAACTTCAATCCAAAATATTGAAACTTTAAAGCAAAAACAGAGCAATTTGTAAGGCAAACCCAGAACACTTGTCACCAATATGAAAATCTATATATGACCAAAAACCCAAAATCAAAAAGAGAAGAATAGATTTGCCAGTTCATCACAACCCATGTCAAAAAACTCAAACTTTGACGATAAACCAAGTGCAAAATGACGCATTGTCACAACAAGTCAAGACCTGAGCTATGCCCAAATCCTAAAACCAATCAGCTTCATAATCAGCTAAAAAACAAACTAACCTAGGCTAAATCACTATTTAACCAACTAAATTTGCAGAAAAGGGTAAAAAAATCCTATCTTTGTAAAGAGAAGGAGAGAGAGAGAGACCTGGTCATCAGTGAGATCAAGACCATTGTCTCTAATCGACGCCTTTCCATGGCCGTGACGGAGACGGCGGTTACTAGGATCACCAGAACCGTAAGGAGCTCGGTGCATTTTAGCAGCAGGAGGGATCTCGTGGCGGCCGTCGTAATACTGATAAAATTCCCAGAGAGAAGCTGCGAGCTTTCTAGAGGAAGATGAGAAATTGGAAGAAGAAGCGTTATTAGGGTTGAAGCTAATGTGCGCCGGGGTGGAAGGTCCGCGAAAGACACTTCTATGGCCTACAAAAACAGCTCTTCTCGTTAGCTTTTCAATAAATCCCTTCCCTTTTTGCCCTTCTCCTTCTTCTTCCTCTCCTCCTCCTCCATCTTCTTCCTCTTCTTTACTTTTCATTTCTTATAGAGTGGCTATAACTTTTCCTTTTTGCTTTTCTTAATTCAATCTAAAAGAAACTCTTTTCCTTTGTGCATCATAATCATGGAAACGAAAACTATCGTCTCTCATGTCATTTTTTTCCTTTTTGTTATTCAGTTTTGATTCTTCGGAGTGAAGTGTTTTTGTTTTGTTTCGTTAAATGGCCGCAAAAAAAGAGAAATTGTCACACTACCTTAAATCATTCATTAGTTTGCTAATCATCTAAAAAAATTCGTTAAACCCAAACCAGTAAAGTTTTACTGATGCGGCGATTATTTTTATAAAATAGTAATTTCGTCGATAGTGTATTGTATTTTTGTGAAGGTAAAAAACAAAAGAGGTGCGTGTCACAGTCAGTGGGCACGTATTTTGGATGCTGTGATTTTCGGACAGAACTTGTAACTTTGGTTCTTAACAAAATTGTCTCCCTGTCTTCAGATATTTCACCATTGGACTGGTCTGTTATCTTGTACTATTCTATAGTATTGATGGTTTTTAATTATGGGAACTTTATACTTTAAGCTCCATCAGAGATTCAGAGTGACACTAACAAGTAACAATACTTGACTTTGTCTAAAATTAGATCTAAAAATTAGTTGAGATTTTCTTGTTTTCAGCTTTTGTTAATTTTTGTTGTGAATATTTTTAGACGGGGGTCTACGGAAGTAAACACAAAAAAAAAAAAAAATACTCGAATAATTGAGGTTGAAAACTTGAAATTGTTGTGATTTCCATTGAGGTTGAATTTTGATTTTAGTGATAAATATTATCATTAAAAAATCGGCTACCGGATAATTGTTAAATAATGGATAAGATGGAAACACATTATTATGATAGAATATTCCGGCTTTGACAAGACCAATTCCGTTGACTCGACAAGCAATCTTTACAACGTGATAATACGTAATAGTAGAATCAACAATGAAGTAGTGAACCAGTGCTCGGTTTAATCAGACCAAAATTCGAATTGGCGTAAACCGGTGAGACCGTGAGACCTCTTTGATAGGTTTTGACTTTGTTTGGCCCGAGAATTACTTGTCTAGAAGACTCTAGATTCCTCCGTTGAATCAATACTAGTAATATTTTGAGCTAATTCATAGATCCTACGGGTTTCAACGTGATTGTCAAACCAAGTGGTTAACGTAAACAAATGGATTAAACCAACCATTAAACGCATGCCGGTAAGATATTATATATACACTCAGACATGCACACAAGATACTCTAGAGAATCTCAATATCAATCTTTTTAAACTATACTGATATATATATATATATATATACATACGTGTGGACGGAAGATGGTTACTTTGGTCAACGGTACTGCTTCCCCGACGGTGAAGTGTCCGGTGGTAGTTATGAAGGCAACGTCGAACGGAGTGTTCGAAGGAGAGAGCCCATTAGACTTCGCTCTTCCTCTTGTCATTCTTCAGATTTGTCTTGTCGTCGCCGTCACTCGCTCTTTGGCCTTTCTTCTCCGTCCCATGAGACAGCCACGTGTTGTCGCAGAGATCATCGTAAGTACTTCATCAAACGATTTACAGTTTCGGGTTTAATCTGTTTTGGCTGTTTGCAAGTGTTCGAACTCGGTTTTCGGTTAGAGAAAGGTACGATTTCGGTTCAAAATTTAATCAAATTACCATGAATTTCAAGAAAAATTAACTTGCATTTGGTTCTTTTTTTTTCCTAGTTTGGTTCGATTCCGGTTGAATTTATGATTATGTCTGTATATAACTCAATTAAGATTTTGGATATGATTGCGTTCGGTTTATCTTAATTTATAAACCATGGTAAATACCTTAAGTTTTCAGTTAATTATACAGTAGAACATTTATAAATTAATATTATATAAATTAATAATTACTATAAATTAATAATTTTTACAGATTTTAAATTGATCAATGTAAAAATTGACAAAATTCGATAAAATAATATTTTTAAAATAAATTTTATGTAAAAATATAGTCTCATAATAATATAAATTAATAATTATACATTTAAACATATATTAATAATATAATATAGTAATTATTGTTTCAAATTTATAAAATTTGTTTAATTTATCTATTTAATTTATTATTATGATATATTTTAAATAAATTTTACATTATTAAAAATATTAATTTTGTTTTTTATGAATATTAAAAATAAAAACTAAAAATATCTTTATAAATTAATATCAATTAATTAATAATTTTATAAATTAATAAAATTTAAGAATCTCAACATTATTAGTTTATAAAAGTTTTACTGTATATAGACCATACAGTTCAAAAATAAAATTATATAGACTAAACTAACAACCTAAACCTAAAGTGAACATAAACCAAAGACAACTCAAGAAGAGGTGCTTTTGAATGTTTTGATGGATTTTATGTTCGGCGCATCGGTTTGTTTGCGGAAAATTTACAAACCAAAATCATAAGGAACGGTTTTGGTTGTACAGATCGTATCCGGGTTTAATCAAATATATTCCGAATCTTCAAAAATAGAATATCTTACTCAGTTGACACTTGACATTGTAAAGTTATCAATGAATTCTCAAAACCAGTTTATAAATATTTTCATTTGTTCGGTTATTTAAACCTTAACCAGACCGAAATCGATTTGTACCGGGATTCAGGGTGGGATACTTCTGGGCCCGTCGGCTCTCGGTAGAATCACGGCGTACGAGAACTCGATTTTCCCGGCGAGAAGTCTGACGGTGCTCGACACTCTAGCAAACCTCGGACTCCTTCTCTTCCTCTTCCTCGTCGGCCTCGAGATCGATCTGAAATCTCTCCGCCGCACCGGCAAAAAAGCGATATCCATCGCCGCTGCCGGAATGCTCCTCCCTTTCGCGATGGGCGTCGTCATCTCCTTCGCTTTCCCAGAAGCTTCTTCTTCTTCCGGCGAAAATAACAGAGTAGTTCCGTTCATCATTTTCATGGGAGTCGCGCTCTCGATCACCGCTTTCGGGGTTTTGGCTCGAATCCTCGCCGAATTAAAGCTTCTCACCACCGATATCGGCCGGATTTCAATGTCAGCCGCCGCTATCAACGACGTCGCCGCTTGGGTTCTCCTCGGTATCGCCGTTTCTCTCTCCAGCGATCGGAATTCCCCGCTTGTTCCTCTCTGGGTTCTGTTATGCGGAATTGCGTTTGTGATCGCTTGTTTTCTAATCGCACCGTATATTTTCAGTTTCATCTCTCGGCGGTGCCCAGAAGGCGAACCCATAGACGAGAAGTACGTTTGCGTTGCGCTTTGCGCGGTTCTGATCGCGGGTTTCGCGACAGACGCTATTGGAATCCACGCGATTTTTGGTGCGTTTGTAATAGGCGTATTGTTTCCAAAAGGGCATTTCGCAGATGCGATTGTAGAGAAAACTGAAGATATCGTCATGGGTCTTCTTCTACCATTGTACTTCGTCATGAGCGGTTTGGAAACGGACATAACTACGATCCATGGTCTGAAATCGTGGGGACGACTCGCGTTGGTGATCGTTACGGCTTGTTTTGGGAAGATCGCCGGGACTGTGGGTGCTGCCTTGTTGTGCAAGGTAGGGCTTCGTGATTCGCTTGTTCTCGGGGTTCTAATGAGCACAAGGGGTTTAGTTGAGCTTATTGTTCTCAATATTGGCAAAGACAGAAAGGTGTTCCCTCCAATCTTAAATCGTTATAACTTTGATTCAAGTAGTTATGAATTAATTATGATTCTGAAACGCAGGTTTTAAGCGATCAGACTTTTGCAATTATGGTTCTCATGGCGACCTTCACGACATTCATCACAACGCCAGTTGTCATGGCGTTTTACAAACCAGGCGAGACAACGCAAACGCAGGATAGCGATAGCTACAAGAACCAAAAACGCAGACGCAAGATTGAGAGTGATAAAGAAGATGAGAAAACGCAGCAGCTTAAGGTTCTGATATGTCTTCAAAGCAGGAGAGATATTCAACCAATGATGAAGATAATCGAAGCTTCTCGTGGAAGCAACGAAACCAAAGAAAGATTTTGCGTTTACGTAATCCATATAACTCAACTATCGGAGAGACCTTCTGCGATTCGAATGGTTCAAAAGGCAAGAAGAAACGGTTTGCCCTTTTGGAACAAGAAAAGAGATAACTCTAGTGCGGTTGTGGCTGCTTTCGAAGCATCTGGTAACCTTAGAAACATTTTAGTGCGTTCTGTGACCGCGATCTCACCGTTGTCAACGATTCACGAAGATATATGTAGCTCAGCGGATAGAAAACGTGCAGCGTTTGTGATTTTGCCGTTTCATAAGCAGTGGAGATCTCTGGAGCAAGAATTTGAAACGGTGAGGTCAGAATTTCAGGGGATTAACAAAAGAGTTCTTGAGAATTCGCCGTGTTCCGTCGGAATCTTGGTCGATCGTGGTCTCGGTGACAATGATTCTGAAGTAGCTTCGAGCAGCTTTTCGCTTTCCGTCAATGTTTTGTTCTTTGGTGGTTGCGATGACCGTGAAGCTTTGGCTTACGGGTTACGAATGGCAGAACATCCCGGGGTTAAGTTGACCGTTGTGGTTATCTCTGGTCCGGAGATCTCAAGATTTGACATACTTGAAGCGCAAGAAACATCAAAAAAAAATTTAGACGAGCAATTCCTAGCCACAATCAAGAATAGGGTAAATGCGATAGGATTTGAAGAGAGGAAAGTGAATTCGACGGGTGAAGCGGTTGAAGCGGTTGAGGTTATCCGGGAGTTTTGCGGGTGCGATATTGTATTGGTCGGAAAATCTTCGGAAGTTCCCATAGTTTCGAAACTACCGGTTATGAAGATAGAGTGTCCGGAACTTGGACCGGTCGGAAACTTGATCGTTTCAAATGAGGTTTCTACTTCGGTGTCGGTTTTAGTGGTTCAACAGTACACTGCAAAAAAAATTCCCGTCGTGGTTTCAGCATCTGTTGCGGTGGAGACGCCGTGAAAAACTGAAAACAGAGGAGGAACTTTTCTTCTTTTTCTTCAACTTGAAGCACAGAAAAAGATAAATAACACAAAACAGAGGAAGATGTTTTCTTTACTCTGAAACACAAGAAAATTAGTGACACAAACTATACTCTAGCTTGATAGATTATTTATAGCGTTTTATCAACGTTACTTGTATTTTATTTATGTAAATACTTAAGATATAGCATTATGGGTTGGATTGGTTCGATCAATAAGTTTCGACTTAATTTAACATCCTCATTTATATCGACTTTATTTGTATCCAACCGAACTGCATGCGTGTTTTTGTGAAGGTGATTTGAAAATGATCATTTGGATGAAGATATAACTTTTGAAGAAATTAAAAATTAATGTAATTTTTATTAAATTTGGTAACTCAATTTTCAAGTGTTTAAAATTTAAAAAGGTTACACACATACACACATAAATAGTTAATCTGAAAACCATTTGACTTGAAAATCTAATAATCATAATCCTGTTTGATATCCAACTCGATTTTTTTTTAAAAAAAATCTGAATTTGAAGGCTGTTCTCAAAATTTAAAAAAAAACCAGCAATCTTGATCTAATGCTGAATCTTTGCAAACTCCTGTTGTTGCTAGGGGCTCGAAGAGACAATATAATCATGTGATTGGGTAGATGCAAGAGAGTATTGTGCTTGTCTCATATGTTGCAAAAAAATAAAAACCAAGGTCTAAAGTTGCCTTTGATAATGAAACATATGAATCTATTGATGGGGAAAGGAGAGAAAGAGGGTGATGAAGAGATGGATAAGAAAAAAGAGAAATGGTGGGAAGAAGAGAGAAGAGTTTTCCGAGGGATGGCTGATTCATTAGTCTCCAATATGCATCTTGTACAAGGTGAATACCCATAACACTTTTAACTCTGTCTTTATATCTAATTAGGAATCACATGCATCAACTAAAACTTATCCTGAAATCATAATAAAAAAAATTAAAAGGGACAAGTCGAAATAGCTTATAGAAAAGCAGAATACACCAACTTTATGGTTAACAAACTTATTAGAATTCAGAAAAAAGTTATGTACCTTTCTAGTGCAAAATTTGAAAATACTCGTAAGTAAACTATGGCAAGGAATATTCATAATACATCATGTGAAGAACAGATGTGTAGTTAAGGTGACAGCGGAATAGTTTCTATGCCTATTGTTTATTTTTCTGCTATGGATGACCTATTAAGCTTAAATGTTTACAAGAGATAGACAGTTTTCACCATGAAAGGGCTGTGTGGTTGATTCGGTCGGTACACAGAATGTTTCGGATCACCTTTCAAGGTATATGAGTTACTTTAAAAAAATGAGCACGTTAAAAAGTGTTTCAAAACATAAAAAATAAACTGTGGTGTTTTTTCGATGCAGCTCTGCTTTCATGTATCTAGCCGCGAGATTCCCTCCAAAATCAAACAACAAGCTAGAAACTGAAAAGAATATTATAATCGTTGTTGTTGAAGCTCCAGAATGATGCATTTTGAACTCATATGAGATTCCTTCGTGGCAGGAAAAGGTTCAAAAGCCCTTTGACACTCAAATTTCTGAGGTTGATAGTAGCCAGAACTTAAAAGAGGAAGTATTATCATCCCAAAGTTATTTTGATCCTGCCATGTTTCAGTCGTGCAGGAGAGTTGGATTTTGTTCAGGTTCCAAATCAGATGCAAATGTCATTCAGAAGAAACCTGATATAGACAAAGCAATTAGCTGGAAGGACTCTCTCTCTTTTGTTCAGCCAAGCAATGATACTAACTGGAAAAAAGGACCACCCAACCTTTCCAGCAGTTATGAGCAAAGCACGACTGGAAAGCCACATGTACCAGATATTGAGGATATAAAGGACTTTGGAATGCATAAAAGAAAGTGTTTTCATTCTTCAATTTGAAGCACAAAAGAAAGATAAATAACACAAAAGAGGAAGATGTTTTCTTTACCCTGAAACACAAGAAAAGATGGATAACACAAAACACTTTTATGTATCAACATGTGTATATAAAAGGATCCTCCTTTTCTTGAACTTACAAGATACATATTTATAGATTAGTGACACAAACTATACTCTTAGATTATTATAAGAAGATATATATATATACTTTAGCTTGATAGATTATTTATAGCGTTTTATCAACGTTACTTGTATTTTATTTGTGTAAATACTTAAGATATAGCATTATGGGTTGGATTGGTTCGATCAATAAGTTTCGACTTAATTTAACATCCTAATTTATATCGACTTTATTTGTATCCAAACGAATTGCATGCGTGTTTTTGTAAAGGTGATTTAAAAATGATCATTTGGATCAAGATATAACTTTTGAAGAAATTAAAAATTAATGTAATTTTTATATTGGCATGTGACACAGTTATGTTGACTGTGTTCTACTTTTTTCCCCACTTTCTTTACCATCGCTTTTGCCTATGTTCGTTATAGAGATGGATAAAGTTTTTGTAGTAAAAACTGATATTGTGTAACCAAGACAGTGCTTGCTTTTTTATCAAACAATACATAGCATACCAGATAATAAAATACATCAAACCACAAATCTATCAGAATACATAAACTCCCAAAAAGAAGATTGTTACACAACTTAAACTCACTCAATTATAAAAAGTTCCAAAGCAATCAAACTCTTTCTTCCTCTCTTTCGGACTATTGAATTGGCTGTTTAGTAACATTCATAGAGTTTAATATCCATCTTGACCCTAAAATACTTAGCACCTTCAAAGGTATCAGTCTCAAAGGTAACAATCCCTCGAGACATGAAGAAATCGCCGGTCCCTCCGACCACAGACAAATCTCTTGTCTTCTCCATCATAAGATCAGCTCCCATTATGTTCAACGTCCCTTTGTGTTGAGTCGAGTTGAACACAAGTGTGTACGAGAACCACGCATTGTAATCGTTCTTCATGTCGTAGAAATAGAAACCTTGAGCACGTGCCACAGGCTCGGATAGGTAGTTTTTGTCTATGGTCACCGGATCGTCGAAGATCACGAGTTTTCCGAATTTGAAGTTCCCGAGTCCCGGCGGGTTGGTAACAGCTGCTGAAGTCGCGTTTTGCACGTCGTCGACGCCAAACATTATGTCGTGATAGTAGAGGACGAAGTTTTTGCATGGTTTTGATTGAGATTTGGATGGTTTTCTAGCTGATACGACGGGTTTTGATAGAACCAGGAAAACGAATAAGAGGATAAAGGTTTTCATTTGGCTATGAAAATGTGAAGTGATCAATGAGAGAGTAGATGTTATCGATGAACAAAGGGTTGATTGTGATATACTAAGATAGTACTGCGTGTGATGGGTTTATATACAACTTGGGCTCAGCGGTCTATGTTAATATAATGTAGGGATAGACTATAGCTCACTTCGTATCTATTTACTTTAGGTTGATGAAATTTTTTGTTTTTGTATAGAAAGTGAAATCATTACGATGATAGATATATTTCAAACTTTTCAAAATAGGCGGCTCAATAACCTTTCAAATTTGCCCACAACTTGTGATAATAGAGAAATCAGTTTAAAATAACACGAATTCATTGTAATACTAAGGTTAAACTCAGATGAATACTAAAAAAAAAAAACCTTTTACCTTTGTTTTTGTTAAACTTTCACCTTTTAGTCATGGGTTGGTGCTCGTGATAACACTAATATTCTAATAATAAGTATGATGATATTTTCATATACCTTCGAGTTTCCCCTGACAACTAGCCAATTAAGTCAAATGCCACTGACATGCTAAAGTATAACATTACATTTTTTAATGTTCGAATATAGATATATATTTTTTACTAAAACCATGTTTAAATTTTCAATGCGAATTAGTTCATACTAAAAAACATTCAAAAAGATGATAAAATAACATATAAAAAGACAAAAACAAAAAAAATGTAAAGACCTTATATATATACTTATTAGGTTTCTAAAATAATGATATTAAGCAATAGTAATTCAAGAATTTAACTGCTTTTAATTGATATTTTTTTAAAATTTTTTTTACAGTTTGTTAGCATAAATTAACAAAAACTACATTTGAAAATCTAAAACACCCATCTTTGTGAAACAAAGAAAAAACCCAAAACATCATCCTAAAAATATGAAAAAAAAAATCGAAGTGGTAAACTGAAAAAAAAGAGTTAGTGCAACATTGAAATTTAAGTAGTTGAAAGAAATATAATAAATAATTAAATAAACGAATAGAAAATTTTATTATAATCATGTATGCAGAAAAGACATATAAGAAAATTAATAGTCATGTAAAAAATTCAAAAACATATTCTATCCCAATTTTTCTACTTACGACATAAAACAAGATAAAATTTAAACGTAACACATATTTTCTCCTATTTATCATATAACAAATCACTTAGTGACCGTTTTATCATCAAATGTATCCATTTTGTTTTTAGCTTTAGCCGACTTATTAGAACATTGGCACTTGACAGCCAATAAAGCAAAACAAATGGCAGAATTTTAAATGTGACTTATAACTATTCACAATTTTTTATAATATCACGAGACCATATACTAAAAAAAGCTAATACAGTAAAGAAAAAGATGTAATAGGTTTTAAAAAAAATATTGCAAAAGAAAAAAAGTCCCTCCTATAGCTACAAGCAAAAACTCTTGACGATAGCCTAATCACAAAGTCGTCGGGTCTGTCTCAGACACAGACATCGCCGAGAAGTTTCCCCTGTCACGCAGTTGAGTTCTCGTCAATATCCACTCTGCTCACCAATCGCCATACTACTTGTTTTTTGGTGGTCAATAATACATTTAAGATGCTGCTTCAAACCAAAAACCGTACAGAATGAACGATAACCAATGACAACAGTCGCTAATTTGCAAGTTTTATCAATCAAAACTTCTATAATAACCAATTCAAATTGAAAGAAAGAACGGTTTGCAAGTCAAATCATATTTCCACCCACACACCAACCCTGAAGTTGAATTGAACAAGGTTTATAGAAAATACAAATTAAAACCAAATTTTTATGACAAAACGAATAAAAAAAAAAGTTATAGCATAAAAGAAAAAGTAAATAGGAAAGTAAATGAGATTGAATGGTATGTAGATTTTTCACGTTTTCACGTTTTGAAAATACGATTTCACTGAAATAAGTACTGAATGATAAAAAGTAAAAATTAAAACTCTATTTTTCAAATTATCCTGCATGTTTTAAATTTATAACTAGTTTAAAGAAAAAATCATTTATCTAATAGATAATAGTTTTTTAATGTTTTAAGTTTATTAAGTTTTCAGTTTACTTATTCTATTAATTCTGTTAGTTTATTATTTAATTATTTTACTATTCTATTATTAAGTTGACATGCCAGTCAAACCTAATGTTTTAAAAAGTGTAAGTTTGATATTTTAAATTTTTTTTTTTTTTGATATATATCACTTGTTTCAAATTGTGGTTATTTAAAAACTCTTAAATAAATGGCGCATATTGCGTGTTTACGTAACCCGAAAATTCTCTATATAGTGATTTTGTATTTGGGCTAAAGTTTCCTTAAGGGCTCAAACAGGCAAAATAAATAATGGGCCAATTTCGGTACCAAACTCTTCTGCGCGCGCGTACACACGTGTATATTATTTAATCATCGCTACACGTGCGATGGCAATACGTGGAGGCGCGCGCATAACCAGTTCAGTGGATTTTCACTATCTTCAGAGAACCAAACAGAGCCAGAGATTTTATTTCTGCAGTAAAAGGAATCAATTCAATTTCACACTGTGAAGAAGAAGAAACGATTGAAACACACACAAACAAAAAAAAAAAAACTCTGGGGAAGAATCTGGAGAGAAATGCTAAGTTTGAATGTCTCCGATTCGCTTCGTCTCCCATTCCCGAACCCTAGGCCTCCCAAATCCGATTCGTGTTGCTGTTCATCTTCTTCGTATCCTTCTTCCTCATCGTCGAGGAAATGCGTCTCCGCTTGTCCAATTCGGGTCGGGTTTTCGGTTCGATGCTTCTCGACGTAAGTTTCGATTCCTTCCCAATGTTTCATCAAGTCTATTGAATTCGCTATACGAACGGAACTTTAGCGGTTTTATCGTCTTCACAAATTTGTGCAGACGTTTGAATCAATTGCGTCGAAATCAATCTCAGATTAGGTCTCGATGCTTCCGAAGAAATGCCGCTTGTTACTTCAAGGTTAGTATAGAGAGTTGGAGATTTTTGTTTTTCTGAAGATTATTATTGGGATTTATTTGAAGGTTGAACAAAAGAGGAGATGGTGTGTTTAATGCTTAAGCTAATTGTAGATTTAGGTACGCTGTGAATTGAAGAAGGTTGTATTGTTTGCTTTTTTTTTTCTTTCAGAAATCTGAATCTGTAGAAAAAGATAGAAGTGTTGATTTTCTGGTGGAGCCATCGATAGCTCACTCAAGAGGAGAGGCTCAGAGAGTTTTCAAGTTCTTGGCTGTATCTGGTTCGCTCGCATTACTCGGAACGGATCCAGCTTTTGCGGTTTCCCAAATTCCCAGTGGGATGCAGTCGTTTGTCACTTCTCTTGGAGACGTCGGAGACATTAGCTCAGGTTTTGCTTCGGTTAGAGAATCTTCCTTTTTGCATAGAGAAACCCGAGAACTATGTCTTCTTCAGTGCCCAGTCCCTTTAAAATTTGCACGTTTTGCTATGTTCTATGTCTCTCTCTGCAGGCGTTCTTGCTTATATTCTTCTCTGAACTTGGAGACAAGACTTTCTTCATTGCGGTACGACCTTGACCTTCACATTCTCGAAGATATAATAAGAGATGTTATAAACTCCCTCACATCAAGTTTTCACGCGTTTCTTTAGGCTCTTTTAGCAGCAAGGAACAACGCTGCTACCGTATTCGCCGGGACTTTTGGCGCTCTTGGGTATGCTTTCTTTTTTCAAACAGAGGCGGCGTGGAATCATGTTTGAAAACCAAAGTGTTATTTTGAGATCAGTAGAGGAACGTTGTAAAATTTGGTGACTTTTTGCAGGATAATGACGATAATATCCGTAGTGCTTGGAAGAACTTTCCACTATGTTGATGAAATTCTTCCATTCAGGTTTGGAAACTCGGAGCATTAAATATACTTTTCAGGTTTAAGTTTCATGATGAATCTGAACGTCAATGGCTTGACAACACAGGTTTGGTGAGACTGATTTGCCTCTAGACGATATTGCAGCAGTTTGTCTTCTGGTAAATTGTTGTTCACTTTTCTAGGCAGTGCTCTGTTAACCAGAGTTGTTTCGTTTGGACTTCTTTATGTAGAGAAAGCTAACTGATTACACAAAATAAGGCTTCTGATTAGTTTTATAGTTGGTTTTGGCCTAGTCATAACTATGAAATAGTATTAACCAGTTATGTTACATTTAGGTTTACTTCGGTGTTTCCACCTTATCAGACGCTATTTCAGACGATGGACTTAAAGCCGAGGAAGAACAGAAAGAAGTAAAACCTCTTTTAGCCTTTCACTTTTACATTTTCCATGCAACCTTCAACAAGAACTCAATATTTACTTGACTTCTTTTCTACAGGCAGAACTTGCGGTTTCAGAGCTTTCAGGTAACGGAGCCGGGATAGTAGCAGCCGCGAACACCATCATCAGCACTTTCGCATTGGTTTTTGTTGCGGAATGGGGTGACAAATCCTTCTTCTCAACCATCGGTGAGACTAAAATTCCCAACTTTTCATGATATTTATGGCGAAAATTAAAACCTTAGGTCCAAAACTCCAACACTGTCTAAAATCTTTTACTTATTTGAAGCTCTTGCGGCTGCATCATCGCCATTGGGTGTCATTGCTGGAGCGTTGGCAGGTCACGGTGCTGCGACTCTGGTGAGGTTTTTTCTTCTTTTGACAAAAAAATGTTGTAACTTTGATGTGAACACATCAAGATCCTAGCAACAAGGCTAATCAAAAGCATATTTAAGCACTAGCCCCAAAATCTTAATAGGCTTCAAAAATACCCATCAAAGATGTTTTTTTTTTCAACTCTAACTTGCATCTTGGTATGTTGATCGCAGCTTGCGGTTTTGGGAGGTTCTTTGCTGGGAAATTTCTTGTCAGAGAAGGTAAATGTCACTATCTAATCATCTTCTATATAAATAACATACACAATACATGCATATGTAGATCAAATTAGTTCCAGAAATCATTGTTTCATCAGTTTAATGAAAGCACTTGAAAAAACACTCCTTCTCTTTCATTAAAATGTCCGTTTTAGTTTTTCCTTGCACTTCTAAATGACATTGAAATTAGTAAGAATAAAATCTGAACTTAAATCTTTGATTAAAAATGGAAGAGTATATTAGTTTGTTTGTTTACTTGACTTGAGGAAAGTATATTATCTAATGAAACAAATCTAATGTCCTTAAATTATCATAAAATGGAGGGTGAATATACTAAGTCTAAGCATATCCTTGGAATTATTCAGCTTTTATTACACAAAAACCATATTCCATTGGCAATTTACTGGCTTTAAATCCTTAGCTTTCTAAGTTCCAAAACATCTTTTTGAGTTTTGTTTTAGTCAAAGGATCTATCTTTTTACTCGCCTTTCCATCTTTTGTTCTGAGATTTAAATTGATAGAAAGAAAAGTGAGAGAAGTAGAGAGATTAAGGTTTTTATTCTACGGCAAGTGGCAGCAATAAGCTGCAATGTTCATTGATCTCAAGTCTTCCACATCATTTGGTATCTATTCCTCACCCCCAAAAAGAGTCAAAATAACATCTTTTATTGTTTTTATTCTTTCTCATGTCCGATCCAATCTGTCAACAACACGATAATATTCCTAACAAAGAAGCTAATATGAAAAATTATTTAAAATATGTAACTAAAAAGAATATATTTAACGAATTAGGTTTAAGAGCTTAGGTTTTAAAGTTTAGAATTTAGTTACTTGAGATTTTGCCTTCTAGGATTTAGGTTATCAAATTTCGAGTTTAGATTTTAGATTATTTTTTAGTTTATAAAAATCTAGACCACTTTCCTAACTTCGATATAAAAAAACCCGTAGTGCTATTAAATCTTTTTTTTTTATTGAAGTGTTTGAGAGAGAGAGATAATTCTTAACAGGAAAGGTTTATATGTTGTTTGGTTCAAAACAGGCAATAGCTTATGTCGGAGGAGTTTTGTTTCTCGTGTTTGCCGCTGTGACAGTGGCTGAGATCATTACGTAAGTGACAAAAATAATATTTTTCTTCTCATCTTATTTGTTGTATAAAAAGACCATTTTAATTCATTTACAATAATGTTCTATTGTTTTATCCTCCACCCTTTCTCTGCTAAGTGCTAACTATGTTGTGTATTTACAGTTTCTATATATATATATTTGTTTTTTAGTGGTTAGAATTTGCTTAGGGGTCAAGATACGTAATATATTATGTTTTGAAAATTAGATACGTCCAAACATAACACGTGTTCGGGACAGTAAAGAATATAAAAGGGGTCGAACATGGTAGAGCATATTCTTTTTCAAAATTCGTCATGTAAACTGTAAAGGTATAGTTAAATATTAGAATAATTACACGAAAAGTTATAAACTTACACGCTTTATAAGTTCCACACTTCCACTCCCAAATGAATATCTTTTGCTACATTATATATAACAGGGTGTGTTTTCATTTTTTTTAAAAAAGGATTAGAAGGAAAAACGAGTACAAAACCATGCACAATTGCATAGATACTTTTCTTTCACCCTTCACAAAATTACAAAAACAAAAAAAAAGATAATAGTTCTTTAAAAAACTTTTAAAGCTTGTTATATACTTATGAACTAAAATAGAATACTATGCAAAGCTATAATTTACCTGAGCCATTCTTGAATTTACCTGATGCTCAAAATTCTCAAAAATACTATTCAAATCTATAAATGCTAAATAAAGGAATGGTTCAGGTTTAATTGAATTGTTGTAAGTAAATAATTTAATGGATTTTTTAGAATCAATACATCTGACCTTAAAAAAGCAAGAAAATCTATGTATTTTGCATTTTCAACCTGAACCATTCTTTTATCGTACGTGGACGCTTTTTCGTTTCCTGTTTCGGACAGTGAGAGCAGAACGAAGAAACGACGTCGCTTTATATATTTATATATCAAAATAAAATTACAAAATCACGAAATTACGCTATCGATCGTAGACCTTCCCGAGGGAATCATACGGGACCCACACAAAGAAGCATGTGGGGCCTAAACTCATAATCACAGAACCAAATTGAACGGTGACGAGCCGCTGCTGCCTCAGCCGCCACGCACTGCGTTATGCTGACGTCAGCAACCGCCAATTGTGATTTAGCCATTATGCTAATTACGCAAAGTTATATTAATCTTTTTAATTATTGCAAGAAACACCCATCTATCTATTCATTTCGTTTATTGAATATTTTCTTTACTATTCAAAATGATATTTTTGTTTATTTAAATTTGTATAAATTTTAAGATTTTCACTCGTTTTAATAAATTTGTTATAGTATCAAATCTAACATAAAATTTAATTAAATTAGATATTCTTAGTTTTAATTGATATGGATAAATTTCTAAATAAAATTGAATGTACTTAAGAAACAAAATAAAACCTTACATATAATTAAATAAAAGAATATACTTAAACAAAAAAAAGAATCAGGAAATATGGGAGGAAGTGGAGGACACAACCAAACGTCATGTTTTGACAGGTAATTAGGTTTCTTTAATGATTTTAGCTGTGCTTAAAAAATAATTATTGAATGATTTTTCTCTGTTTAATTTGTTTGTTTATCAAAATACAAAAACACAGAGTATAAGAAGAAGAAGACATAAAAGGCAACGGCACGTGCCAAAGATTCTGATGGCACGTGTGGCATCAGTCTTCTTACCCTTTTTTCCTCCTCTTCTTTCAGATTCGATGATTTCCACTCCTTCGCTTTTAAGCCTCTCTCTCTCTCTCTTTCTCTCGTTCTCTTATTTATACCTCTTTCAATCTCTCTCGCCGGCGCTGTTAATCCCTAGATTTTCACAGAAATAAAATAACACACCTAAAAGAAGAATTACTCAATTCCGTTGAAACTGAGAGGTTGAAAGAGAAGGAGAATCGCGATTTGATTATCATTTGATGCCGTGAAATTTCTGTAATCAGATTCAAAAATTGAGGTAATCCTTCCTTGTTTTCGCAATCGAATTTCTACAATTCATAAAAAAAAAATTCTTGTGTGTTCGCTTGATTTGCATGTTTGTTCTCTGGTGACAAAAATCAGAAACAATTATCGGAAAAAAAAAAAACTTGTCTCTGAGATCGATGTCTGGGAAATTGAACAATTCTGTTTATCCGTTGTTCTGTGTGTGTTTTTGGTCTTTTTCATATCTGAATTCGACGAAACTCGTGTCGGTTTAATCCAGAACGACTTAGTTTTTCAAGTACTCTGGTTCGGAGTTTTTTTTTTTTTTTTTTTTGTAAATTATTTCATTGGGAATTTCTGAGTTTACAGTCTATATTATTAAGATCTTGTTTCATAAACGCTGAGGATGATCAACGAATAAAACAGTTCTGTTTCGAATCTGGGTTTCTAGATACTCGTGAAACCATCTCTAGATTTCGTATATATATGCTCTGTTACGGTCTAGATTTCTCAAATTCTAGTTTGTTTCTGATGTGTTGTTGATGTAATCAGTTATTGTGTTATCTAATTGAATTTCTCACTGCTCTCTTTTGTAGTTTACTTACCAGCAGGATGATTAGCTGCTGCTGCTGTAATTTCGTGAAGAAGTTTGAGAATTAACTTTGGGGCTTGAGAGCAACTTCGTATCAAACAGCTTCCAGATTTGATCTTAAGTTAATTTGAAATGGATCGGTGCGATACCTCAGGATTCGTAAGCGGAGGTGGAGATGCTTATAAGGTTTTCTAACTCTTACCGCTGTGGCTTATTCTCTTAAACCCGGAAGTTGTATCTGTACTTTGTGTTTGCCTTGTCGTCTTTTGCTTTTTTCGGTGTTCTTCTTCACAAAAAGTCTTCGTTTTTAAGTTGTGACAATGCATGCCAGATTCCACAACAGTGGTTTCGCTGCTAATTCTTTTAAGATCATGGGCCGTCCCCTTGACGTCGAAACACCAGAGGCGGCCGCGCTTGGCGCGGATACTACCCTGCGTCTTGATTCCCTTGCCTCTCCAGTACTGTCTAATGCCAAGGGAATCAAAAGGAAATGGAATCTGGTTGATGGATCAAAGAAGGGTCAAGAAGAAGCTGATCCTTTACTCTCCTTGAGACTCGGTCACTCGCCAAGCTCTTCTGATAGCAAAGGGAGCTCTGCGACGGCTTGCACGAGCTTGTCCTCTGCCAAAGAAACCGAGGAGGCGTCCTCAATGGATATCGAGCTTGACTTCAGCCTCCATCTCGGCAACGAGAAACCGGCGAGCAACAAAAGACCGGCTAACCTGAAGATGAAAGGGCTTCAGGTCGTCTCCTCCCCAAGATTCGATCTTGAACTGAGTCTCTCTGGTGGAGGTTCCTGTCAATCTGAGATCACTGCGGTCCAGCACCAGGCGAAGCAGTTTCCGACTCTCGCGGAGATGCTACGTGCGACCAACGAAGGAACCACGTCGTGTGGATGGAGACCAGGGTCGTCATCATTAGCATCACCTGCGTTGCGAGCTTCACCAAGCAAAGAAAGAAGCTCCTTCTTAGCCCATGCTCCAAAGAATATCATCATTCCTGCTGCTCATGCTCTTGACCTGTCATCTAGCACGACAACAACACCAATAAGCTCGGGTACGTGTACTTCCGGTTTAACTCAGCAGCTGAAGCCACAGCATAAGAATTCTTCTAGTTCCAAGTTATGTCAAGTAGAAGGATGTCAAAAGGGGGCAAGAGGCGCGTCTGGCCGTTGCATCTCCCATGGCGGTGGACGAAGATGCCAGAAACATGGTTGCCACAAGGGCGCTGAAGGTCGAACTGTGTACTGCAAAGCCCATGGAGGTGGCCGCCGATGTGAGTTTCTCGGATGCACCAAAAGCGCTGAAGGCCGTACTGATTTCTGTATAGCTCATGGAGGTGGTCGAAGATGCAGCCATGAGGACTGTACACGTGCTGCTAGAGGAAGATCAGGGCTCTGTATTAGGCATGGTGGAGGAAAGAGATGTCAAAGAGAGAACTGCACGAAAAGCGCTGAAGGGCTTTCTGGACTCTGCATCTCTCATGGAGGTGGTCGTCGATGCCAATCTAATGGATGCACAAAGGGAGCACAAGGGAGCACTATGTTCTGCAAAGCACACGGTGGTGGTAAACGATGTACACACACGGGTTGCACCAAAGGCGCAGAAGGAAGCACGCCGTTCTGTAAAGGACATGGAGGAGGGAAAAGATGTGCCTTCCAAGGAGGTGATCCTTGCTCCAAGAGCGTTCATGGAGGTACTAATTTCTGTGTGGCTCATGGCGGCGGCAAGAGATGTGCGGTTGCAGAATGCACAAAGAGTGCTAGAGGAAGGACTGATTTCTGTGTGAGACACGGTGGAGGGAAGAGATGCAAGTCTGAAGGATGTGGGAAAAGCGCTCAAGGTAGTACTGACTTCTGCAAGGCGCATGGAGGAGGGAAACGGTGTGCGTGGGGACATCCCGAGACTGAGTATGCGGAACAATCCTCCTCTGGTCCTTGTACCTCGTTTGCTCGAGGTAAGACCGGTCTCTGTGCACTCCATAACAGTCTGGTTCAGGATAACCGGGTTCACGGAGGAATGACTGTTACTTCCGAGAGCCAAGAGCCGAGGCTAAGCAGCAGCGAAACAGAGAACGAGGAAGAGTTTAGCGACATGAACATCGACTCAATGAAAGCGAGAAGTGCTGCTGGATCTCCAGATTCTTATGTTGATCTCAATGAGAACGAAGCAGAATTGGGATTAGCTCCAGAAGGAAGAGTTCACGGTGGAAGTTTGATCATGGCGATGTTGGCTAGAGACGGTGGCTCTGGCTCAAGCAACCTTCCAAAGAGGTGGATGTAAGTTGTTTTCAGTTTGATTTTAAGTTGTCTTAGTTCTGCAAGTGTGGGTGGAGTAAGAGTGAAAGAAAGTGTTAAAGAGTCTTGTGTTTGTTCTAGTTTTAGGTTTTATTAGAGAGTAAAAAAGGAGCAAAGTCTGTGTCTTTTCTTTGTGCTATTTAATTGCCTGTAGATATTGAATTAAGGGTCCAAGCAAAGGTTATATTGTGAATTGTCAAAACAGTCTCTGATGATGATGATGATGATGATGATAAGAATAAAACTCATGTCTTTGTTTGCAAATTGCATTTTCAGTTGCTTCTCTCTCTCGGTTAAGCGTAAATTTAATTGCACACGTGATGGCTATTGCATTTTGAATGTAATTGCACACGTCGTCCTGTGTTCTCGTTGACCTAGTGACTGTGGTCAAGGTCTAACCAGCAGAGAGCCAGAGACAATGAAAAGATACAAGACTAATTCGTGCGGACCAAATTTACCAGTTTACTTGAACCGACCAAATTATATTACATGGCTTTTTTTTTTTGTTATCAAATCAACGTATAAAAAACACTTGGAAGAATCACCGTTTTCCTATTTCTCTTAAATATTGAGAAAAAAAAAACAAATAATTAGTATGGAAGGAACAAAACCAAATAAATAAAGAAGTAAAATGTCAGAAGTGGGGTTTGAACCCACGCCTCAGTTACGAGACCAGAACTTGAGTCTGGCGCCTTAGACCACTCGGCCATCCTGACTTTTGCGTTAAAAACACGTTAATCTTAATAATAGCAAATACATATCTTCAAAACATAATTTCCTTCGTAAAATCCAAGATCGGCCCATATAAAATATTTTATTAAAGCCTATATATATAATAACTTTAAATGGGTTAGTTTCTCTTTCAAGACCATAACAAAAAGCCCATTTGTAATCACTCACAGCAACAAAGAACCCTTTGATACCACGTACATATGAGGCGCGTGACATCCATTCCTCCAAATATAGTCGTTAAAAATTCACGCGATGTGTTTCGGCGCGTGGGATTGGTCTTATCATGACAATCAGGTTAATGCTGCGAAGACAGGAGAAGCCATACCTTTCGATCTTAGCCGTCAATTTGTCCCCTTACGTGGATCCTACTTTGTAATCCAACAGCTTAAACTAAGCCACGCCATCCAGATCTAACAGTCCTTTCTACTAGTTTCTGCGTTCTTATTATATTTTATTTTATTTACCTTTATTTTCTTTTGTATTTAATTTTGTGTCATCTTTAATGGCGTACTAAAATATCGTGCCTCTGTGCCACAAACCTATTTTAGATATACCCCACAAAATATTCAAATCGCACCAAATACCCACAAATAAAAACATAATTTCCTTTTACTATAAGTCTATATGACTAATATTTCAGTATTTAAACAAAATAGTATGAATTTTCTTGCCTAAGATCATTACTTTGAGATAAATATATCTCGAATTGCAAAGAGGGTTGCATTTAATCGGAATACACTACATTTTGCTAGACTAGAATGATAATTTTAAATATACGGAGCACGAACTTAAATAAACAAAAGAATTGAAGGGCGTTAGAATAAGAAGCGGCAAAATCAAATTAAAAACTGCCAAAACGGAACCTACTAACCTTTGATATAATGACACGTAAGCAAAGTCTCCGTAATGACTCATCAGTTTTCATGTGTATGTACTCTCTTCTTCATCATCTCAGACTCATATATACACATTGAAAAAAACAGAGAAGCGATCCATAAGGAGAAAAGAAACCCTAAATATCACACTCGCCGCAATTTCCACCGCCGGTGATGACGTGTCTATAGATCCGGTTTTAACATTCCTTTCTGTGATTTTCAGACAGTTGAAGCCTTTATTTCGGGCTGGGGACCAAAATCTCGGAAAATTCGGGGATTTAGAAGTTTTTTCTCTTTTCACGAGAAAAGAAGAGAAAGGAACTGCAGAAGAAAAGACCTGAGAGATATCTTATAACAAAAGGTTTTGATTTTTCTTGTTAAATATTTGAAAGTCGAAACTGTAGAGGGGATAAAACAATATCTTTAATTTGTTCTTATACGATTTTATCGTTGTTACAAACTTTCGATTAGTATATTTGGTATAGATCTTTCATTTATACACTAATACTCTGTTTTTAGGTTTTTTTTTCATTTTTGGAAGATCAATGGATAGCAAACAGATGTTGTTATCGGCGCTCGGCGTCGGAGTTGGAGTCGGTGTGGGTTTGGGCTTGGCTTCGGGCCAAGCCGTCGGAAAATGGGCCACCGGGAATTCGGCGTCAAATAACGCCGTCACGGCGGATAAGATGGAGAAGGAGATTCTCCGTCAAGTTGTTGATGGAAGAGAGAGTAAAATTACTTTCGATGAGTTCCCTTATTATCTCAGGTAAACTTTATAACTTTTTTGTTTCATTTTTTACATTGAAAATTCCCCTTAATCCTTCTTCTAATGAAATTCACAACTCAACTTTGAGAAGAAAAAAATCGATTATGATTATTGTTTAAAAATAAATCTTCTGATGAGTAATGGACACTTTTAGTTTATAGTTTCCGAGTTTCGAGACGATTATACAAGTGAGAATAGTATATGATAAGGAAGTGATAAAAGTCATTGCATTTTCTTTCTATTTAGATTTAAAAAAAAACGGATAAGATATTCGTTGAAGTGATAAAAAAAAGGGTGAAGCATGTGAATTTCTGTTTACATACGACGGAGATGATATCATTGTCTTCTGATCCTGACACGTGTCACAAAGTGAGATCATGTGATCTTTTCCCCTAGATGTTTGGATTTATTCCCTTGCTGTCTGAAACATAAGCATACATAGATAGATACATATTAGATCTTGTACTAATCTTGGTCATCAATGTTTTGGGGTTATGCAGTGAACAGACACGAGTGCTTCTAACAAGTGCAGCTTATGTCCATTTGAAGCACTTTGATGCATCAAAATATACTAGAAACCTGTCTCCGGCGAGCCGAGCCATTCTCTTGTCCGGTCCTGCCGGTTAGATTCCGATGATTCGCTCTCACTCTTTCGTTCTTAAACCGATTTGGTCATACTTTGATTCATAATGTGTTCCTTTTGTAGAGCTTTACCAACAAATGCTAGCTAAAGCCCTAGCTCACTTCTTTGACGCCAAGTTACTTCTTCTAGACGTAAACGATTTTGCGCTAAAGGTTTCTGAAGCCCACATTTAAGAACATTAAGCTCTGTTTGTTATTGTGAGCCTTCTCTATTGGGAAACCTTAAATCTCCTTTGTTGTTATTCCAGATACAGAGTAAATATGGCAGCGGAAATACAGAATCATCGGTAAGCGCTTTTCTGATTCGGTTTGCATATTCTTTCTTAGTGTCTTGCAAATGATCTAAAATTGGAAATATCTGCCTTTTAATCGGTTTGCTTTAGTCTTTCAAGAGATCTCCTTCAGAATCTGCTTTAGAGCAACTATCAGGACTGTTTAGTTCATTCTCCATCCTTTCTCAGAGAGAAGAGCCCAAAGGTAAAGTGAAACAATGTCTACTAAACCTTTGTGCTCTCTGCTTTAGTATCAAATGTAATTGACATTGTTCGTTAATGAATCTGTCAAGCTGGTGGTACCTTGAGGAGGCAAAGCAGTGGTGTTGATATCAAATCAAGGTCGTGTTTCTGTGTCCGTTTACTTCATAATTTTAAGCTAATGTTTTGGAATCAAAACTAATGTGTAGTTATCCATGATCTCTATACAGCCCCATGGATAGTAATCCTCTAAACCTTCGTCGAAACTCTTCAGCAGCTAATATCAGCAACCTTGCATCTTCATCAAACTCAGCTCCTTTGAAGCGTACTAGTAGTTGGTCTTTCGACGAAAAGCTTCTTATCCAATCTTTATATAAGGTAATGTGTATAAAACTATATACATTTAGGCTGTTTGGATAATTTCTTATTATGTCTTGCAACTACGAAGTGCAGGTCTTGGCTTATGTTTCAAAGGCGAATCCGATTGTGTTGTATCTTCGAGACATCGAGAACCTTCTGTTCCGGTCGCAGAGAACGTACAACTTGTTCCAAAAGCTTCTCCAGAAACTCAGTGGACCGGTTCTCATTCTCGGTTCAAGAATCGTGGACTTGTCGGGCGAAGACGCTCAAGAAATCGATGAGAAGCTCTCTGCTGTTTTCCCTTATAACATCGATATAAGACCGCCTGAGGATGAGAACCATCTCGTGAGCTGGAAGTCGCAGCTTGAACGCGACATGAACATGATCCAGACTCAGGACAATAGGAACCATATCATGGAGGTTTTGTCTGAGAATGATCTTATATGCGATGACCTCGAATCGATCTCTTTTGAAGACACAAAGGTTTTGAGCAATTACATTGAAGAGATTGTTGTCTCTGCTCTTTCCTATCACCTGATGAACAATAAAGATCCTGAGTACAGAAACGGAAAGCTGGTGATATCCTCTACAAGGTTAAAAAAGCCCTAACTTGTTTCACAAACTTGCTTCTAAGCGATATTCGTACTGATTTATTCTTATCTTGCTCGTGTTAGTTTATCGCATGGATTCAGTCTGTTCAGAGAAGGAAAAGGGAGTGGTCGCGAAAAACTGAAGCAAAAACCTAAAGAAGACAAATCTAAGGTCTCTCTCAGTTTCTGTTTTTAGCTGAAAACAGAGGATTTAGACAGAAACAGAGCAGAACCATAGCTAAAACCTTTCTCTTTTCTTCAATGTTTCAGGAACCAAAAGCTGAATCAGCAGCTGATATCAAGCCGGAGACCAAAACAGAGAGTGTCACCACCGCAAGCAGCAAGAACGAACCTGAGAAAGAAGCCAAAACTGAGAAACCAGCCCCAAAAGCTCCGGTAAGTTTGATCTATCTACTGTTTTATCAACTCCATAGTTCGTAACAATGTCTTAAACAGTTTGTCAATTGTGTTAACCTATGGAACAGGATGTTCCACCTGATAACGAGTTTGAGAAACGGATAAGACCGGAAGTGATCCCAGCAGAAGAA